TGGCAGGGGGTGGAACTGGATGGGCTGCGAGGTCCCTCCCAATCCAAACCAGCCTGGGATTCTATGAGAGCACGGAAAAATTTCTCCAACTGCCTTCTGCTACTATTGCAATAGTTTTCTTACCTTCACTCTCAGCGTCTTCAGCTTCATCCTCAGTAGGCACTTCTCCTGGACTATCGAATTCTACCATGATAGCCTGGTCCTCTAGTTCATCTGCTTGTTCAACAGCTTCTTTTAATGGCTTCATCCCAGATTTTTCAGAGGAGGAAAAAGCATGAGAACGCCTGCCCAGACTTCCAGCTCCAACACCTTCAACAATCTCATGCTCTAGATTTCCAGAACAGGAAAAATATATCACTGAAACAAGTATCATAGCCAAAATTTCAGAGCACTCATAAGAACCCAACTTTCCATTCCTGACAACCTATTATAATCCTATCTTCAAGGATTAGAATGTCAACACGCTAAACTAGATAAGCTAAAGCACCGATGAATCCTCAATTTTTCTCTAGGTGTGCAGAGGTCACATGAAAAAAATAGCACTTGGTAATGTAGAGAAGCCCATGAGATTTGAGAGAATTTTTTATCTGAGCTCCTTTTAAATGAGCTTCCTTTAATAAGAAATTTTATCTGAAAAGAAGTCTTGCCAAAGCCTTAGTGCTGCATGTTGAACGCAGAAGACCAGGCAATTCGGGAAAAGTAACTGGGGAGATCCTGATTTGCCTACACACTCAGAAGGTCTCCAAATTTTATCAGTCTTTGCCTGATTCTGGAACTTCCACTAGTAAATTTTAATTAAAGATGCCTTCTGCAATTAAATATTTCTAAACACTATTGCCAATGCAACTTTGGTTTCCATTTGAGCAGAATGCAGTCTTTCAGCTTAAAAACATCAAAATTAGTTTGATATTTTCCCAGTATTGAGCCCAGGTTCCAGAATGCAAAGAAAGTTAACAAGCCTCTGTCCCAGCACTGATGCCAATAACGCAGCTGGAAAGGTCTTTGGCATTAGAGATAATCGTCCATATTAGAGGTTGTCCTCACCAGCTTCGGGAGAGCCTTGGTGTTCAACAATGCCTTCTGCTACTCCCTCTTCCGAAGGGGCCGTTTCTGTTTCGACTCTGGCATTCTGTGCAGTGGCTATCTGCAATTCTGCTTTTTTGGTCAGTTTTTTCTCCAAATGTTCAGAATATCCAGCATTTGCATGATGCTCTGCAGCTAAAATAGGAAATTCTATCATCAGTCTTACCTACAAAGAAAACCCCAATCAACCACCAGCATACAGTTTAACAATCGTGGACATTTACTCAGAATAAGTAAACTCAGCAAAGGGTATAAGCCATAAACAAGGGAAGCAGATGCAGTTGCTTTCAAAAAATTTTACACCTGAGAAACACACAACTTTCTTTGTTTGCTCTATAGCCACCTAATCAGGGTGCTTGTCAGATCCTGATGAAGGGATTTTACTTAACAGTAAGTAGAGCGCCTCCAGATCTGCCATCTCTATTCTCACTTTTGGTGATTGTTTGAAAGACCAATTTCTTTTCCTTTAAGTCCCTTTCCTTTCCCTGGAGTTTGTGCTCAGATTCTCCTCCCCATTTCCTCAGTTTTTCTGAATAAACAATTTTGGAAGAGGTACATTGCACTACGAAGAGGAGAGCACCTAGCAGTGGTTTTAATCATCCCAGACAAGCCTCTCGCAGGCAGGATAAGGAGAAATAAATGGACACAAGATTTGCACATTGTTAAAAACTTCTTCTACAGAGGTAGCTATTGAGGAGTACTTAAATACTGCCTTTCCCTCCATAGTACAACTACAGTCAGTAATACCAATCTCACTAACCACTGGGCTCCCTACACCTACGCAGGGCACAATCTTGCCCAAAGTGAAGTGAAATATTAGCTAAGTTTTGTGAGAAGACAAAAGCTCAACTCAACACTAGGACTGCCTAAGGCAGATGGGCACCGGTGGATCTCCCATGCTACTGGTTCCCTGCTGGGATACAGTACTTTCCCAGTGGAGTACCAGATGCTATCAATACAGTTAAGCATCATTTTTACCAATTTCTTCACCTGTTGCTAGCAGCAATACCTCCTGAAGTTGGGTATAACCTGCCAGTGCTGGTTGCTCCTCTCTAGTCTCTGCACTGGCAGATCAGGGAGCTGTTTGTTTCAATTTGTTTGCTGAATCACCTCCTCCGCGCGGCTCAAGGCTTTGCTTTTTAAACTTCTCATATTTCACTCTCACAGCAATTGTCTTTTTTCCAGGCTGAGCAGTCCTTATCTTTAGTCACTCAATGTACAGCAACTGCTCCGTATATTTGATTACTATTAACAGTAAAACTGTTTTTCTCTGCACCTTCTCTAGTTCTGTTAAATCTATTTAGAGATGGAGAGGTTAGAACTGCATGTAGTATTTAAAAGATGAGCATGATAATCATTTGCACAGTGACATTTTGTCATCTCTTCCTTTCGTAACAATTTTTACACATTATTTGCTTTTCTGACCATCCCCCAAGCTTTGAGCTGGTGTTCACAGAACTGTAACAACTCTGAATTGACTTTCATCAGTCCCAAGAGTCACATCCCATTTAAACTTCACACTCCACAGGTGCACCCATGTAAAACTAAACAGGACAAAAGAATCCAGAAAGATTACAGGTTGCCAACCTTACGCAACTGTAAATTTAGAGGTGCAGAATATCTGCTACCTTAACAAACTACTCTAGAAGAGCTGTTTAAAACAAAAGGCTGTATTATCATGATAAAAAGGCAATATAACTAATTTTGCTGATATGTTTTATTATGTGCAAGCAAGTCCTTACGGGCACTGCAAGGATTCAGTTTAAAATTCTAATAAGAACCAAAACTGCCGGTGCTGCAGCCAGTTCAGTTTCCATACTGCCGTCAAGTAATTCATGTGAAACTTCTGACAGGTAATTAAGACTTGGGAAAGCTAAACCCACATGACAAGGGTCTTCTCTTATTTCCAGACACTGTCAAAGGAACAATGGGAAAGACTTAAAAAGGATCCTAAACTGGAGTCTGGAAAATGAAATTCAACAAAACAGGAATTTGTGTCCGCAGATACCCAAAGCTTTATGTAAGGACTGGGTAACACCTGCTGCCCTCAGCATCCGTGCAGAGTTTTTACCATCTTATTCTAAGGCAAAAGGATTTCAGAGAAAACTGAGAAGGTGCTTGTGAAAGCAGGCAACCTGCATGACTTGCTCTCATCAGAAACAAGGCGGTATTAAGGCCCAACCTGCTAGTGACAATCTTTGTTAGTTAAGGGAGGGCAACCTTCAAGCCCTTGTCTTAAGAGATGCTAGTTAGTACTGGAGAAAGATAATGGCCAACATGGCTTAAATAAGTATTAAAATGTATATAAAAAGAATGGTTAGCCAGACATATGCCTTGCCAAGAGGGAGCTATTCCTCTTTCTTATGGGAAGATGAGCAATACTACGAACCTACCAAGAAATATGAAAATTTATTCCATTTGCAGTCACTGTGACTAAGGTAAATACTGACAAGAAAGCACACGAGCAAGTCATAGCCTACTTTTAGAAAGCTTGTCTGGAAATGCTCACAGTGTCTCTGATTTGACTTGAATTTATCTCCAGCATCTACTGCACAATGAAGTCCTAATTTTACTCTGCAAGTCACCTGAAAAACTCTTGAGTTTAATCTGATTAAAGAACTCCACTTCCTTGCAACACTGAAAGTGCTTCTTACCCTGTCTGAAAATCTCTTCCTGTTCCACTTTGTTCACTGTATTAACCATCTCTTCTTCTGCATCGCTTACATCTAGGTCTTCAATTATATGGGACACAACTTCTCTCAAAGATATGCTGAAAGATCTCTTAGGCTTTAGAGTGACTGGGGATCTCAAACATTTACTTGAACTTCTGGATGGCAAAGAGGAGCTCCATCTATTAACAGCTAGAAATTGAGAGCATTAACTTGCCCCCAGGATCTTTTTAAACTTTCTTTTTGCTTTCCTGGTAAGTAAAAAAAACCAACCAAGCAGAGAGAGGAATACACACAAGAAAATGCTCTTACTTTACTTGAAACAGTTTAGGGAGTTTGCATTGTATCTTAGGAACCAGTTGGGAAAGCCCCTGCAACTATTTTTCTGTTCACGCTAAAGAGCAACACTGACATCAGCCACCTTTGGTGAACCTGCAGAACTACGTAACCCTTAACTTTGAACATTAATGCCTGACAAACTCCAGCATCTTTACAATCCACTCTCACTCCCCTACCCTTCCTCCCATTTAATCCAGTCCCCTATTCCACGTCCTCCACATTCTCTATCCATTTCCCCTAAAGTGCCTACCATTGGACCCTTCAGAGCAATTAACCTTTTCCTGTTGATCTCTTCCCTTGCCCTTTCAAAATAACTTGTCCCACCAAACTTGCCACAGACAACCCTCCAAAAGCAACACTCCACCAGGAATTAATTAATTTCTAAGCTTTCCACAGCAAGAACTCTTCTCCAGGCTTGAGCAGTACTGAATACACCAACCATTCTTTAAGTATTGTTTCTGTGGCCCTTTTGACAAAAGATCATAAAAAACCTCAATGAAAAAGAAACATTAGCTGTCCATGCTTCATGGAAAGCATAAGGAGTTTGGATTGAAGAACTGCAGGAATATTATTTACTACAGCAGCTCCTGTCCTGGCTAGCCACCCCAGGGTCACTAAGCAGAAAATTTTAAGAGTTACAACCATGCCTTGGGGCCTGAGGAAAACGTGCTCCCATTACACAGCCAGGACAAGGTATTTACAGGGAAATGAATGCAGAAGAGACACCAGACACCAGGGGAAAACTGGCAAGTGACAGGACATGCAAAGCATTGGTGCAGAGTGACCAGGAAGGTGACTACCTGTCAAAGGGATTAAGGCCCTGGAGACAGCTAAGCGGTTAGCTGTGACACAGAAATCACCTTACCACGCTAAAGATCTACACTACTCACCTCACAAGACTCCTCCTGACTCCTTACCTCACTGTATTTCTGACCAATTTACAGTGTCCACTTCTGGGCTGCCCTCAGCACAAGAGAGGGATGGACATAATGGAGGCAGTCCAGCAAAGGGCCATCAGGACAGTTACGGGACTGGAGTGTCTCTCCTAGGAGGGAAGGCTGAAAGGGCCGAGACTGCTCAGCCTGGAGAAGAGAAGGCTCTGGGGGGGATCTATCTCATCAATGCATGCAAGCATCTGAAGGGAGGGTGTAAAGCAGATGGAGCCATGCTCTTTTTAGTGGTGCCCAGTGCCAGGACAAGAGGCAACAGACACAGACTGGAACACAGGAGCCTGTCTGAACATAAGGAAACACTTTTTCCACTGTGAGGGTGAATGAGCACTGGAATAGGTTGCCCAGAGTTTGCAGTCTCCATCCTTGGAGACAAGTAAAAGCCGCCTGGACACGGTGGCCCTGCTTGAGCAGGGGGGTTGGAGACCATGACTTCCAGAGGCGCCTTCCTACCTCAGCTGGGCTGTGACTTCAGATATCACCTGCTAAGCCCCAAGTGCTAAGCCATAGTACTCACTGCCAACCACCACCTCTTCCGGAACAGAAAGCTGCTCCACTGGGTTACTCCGCCGGGAATGATCTTGCTTATCTTCTCGCTGATTTGTGGGTGTTTTTGGAGATAAATGAGTGATTCCGTCAACATGCTCACGATCAAGGATTAAGTCCTCAGAATATCTTTGGGTCCTTCCCTCATTTGTGCCCACACTGGATACCAGGCCCACCAGCCCTGCTTCCTCTTGAGCTGCATCAGAAATCTTGCTTCTCTGGGCTGAAGTTTTTGAATCCAATAGCTGTGGTTCAAGAGCAGAAAGCTTATTTTGGCTCTGTTCATCAAACCGAGGCTGAACAAAGAGCTCCGTGTTATTCAGCATGATTTCCGCATCACTCGTCAGCGGGGCTGTTTGAATCCCAGATGCTGTATGTGAATCCACAAGATAGTCCTCTGCTGTTTAGATAAAGTTTTAAAACCAGTTTTATGTGAGGACTTGCATAATTCAAGATTTAATTAATTCCACCAAATTTTATTCATCCTCCACAGATCAAACTTCAGCGCCCCAAACTTTCTCTACCAAACCATCTCCCCAGCACCCACAGTTATGGACACGATCCCAAACAGGATACGATTCCTGTGGTATAAATCACATGTGGGTGGAGCATGTATTTAAGTGCACAGAATCAAAGCAACCACAGATGCAGAACCTCATTCTAATCACGCCTCCAAAATTACACTGGATTTCTGCGAATGTGCCTTTAAATTATAAAATACAGACCACACTTCACTAACTGCTTCTAAAAATCACCTTCTCTAAGGCCCTCCCTCCTGCAACAGAAGTAACGACACAAAAGAAACCTTTTCTCTTCAGCATGTTCTGTTCCACTCCGCCTTCAAAAGCTTCCATGTCAATAGCTTTGTGACTTTTTGGCCTCCGCAGCAAGCCTCTCTTTTCAACAGTGTCTGGTGCGATCAAGGAACCAAGAGACATGCGAAGAGATCTGTAAAAAGAGGAGGCAAGAAATAATTTTCTGAATTTACACACTCCTCTTTTACTCTCAGATTACACACATGGTGCCACTAGCTGTGGGACATTTCACAAACCTCTTAGCTGGGGTAAATTTCCCAAATGAAGTCCACATTAAACAAACAGTTTAATTTCATGGTATCACCTAACATCAGGATATGTATCCCAGAGATCAGGTAACAGACTGGTTTACAGCCTCCTACCTTGAGGAGGCTGCAACAATACATCTCACAAAAGATTCAGGAATTTTAAATAACCAAAAAAAAAAAAAAAGGCAAAACAAGCGTTTGAGAGTAAAGATGTCCTCTAGATGCTGGCAGGGTGGCAGGAGGACTTCAGAACAAGTCTAAGAAGCTGCTTAGTATGAGAATTCGCAACAAATACAGCTACCAATACACTGCAATTCTTATGAGATGGGAGTTGAGATAGAAACATGCAAAGGATGGGAAAAGATGTATCTCAATGTGCATATTTTGCATCTTAAAGAGACTGGTCATGTTCAGCTACCTCCCATCCCTCTCTCTAGGCAGCCAAATCAAAAGGGGGTTCGGAGGATTCTCAGATAGAAGTACAGAATGCAGCCCTATGAATCACCTTGCATGGCACCACAGGCAAGGGCTGCAGCGAGAAAGGTGAAATAAATTGCCAACCAGGGCTAGGATCATTAGCAAAGTACACGGGCAACACAGGAAAAGAAGTTCTTTGACTTGCAAAAAAGGTTTTGAAGTCCAGGGAAGTTGGACTAGACTGCATAGGTGGAACTGATGTGATAAGTCAATTAACAGGCAGAGATAATATTCTAAGGTATATTGTGTACTGATTTAATGCTGGAAACATGAGAACGAAAGGAAAAAAAAGGAATGATCCCAACAAGTAAAAAGAGGAGCAATTGTAGCAATACAAGCTGGACCAAGCTGGGCATGCAGTGCAGAGCCAGAGTTTCTGAAAATCACAAGGTATGTGGTGTAACACCTTCAAATTCCATCACCAGAGTGGAAGATGATTGTGTTTAGTAATAACACAGGTCTTAATTGTGAACTTATCTATACTGTTCTTCACAACCATAGAGGTGATGAACCAAGGCAGCTATAGTTAAAGACATTTTTGTTTAAACTCACCGAGCTAAAGCAGTGCTGTCCAACGTTGACTGAGCTAGAAAAAAAAATTGTGACACATTAGTTGAGAAATTACCTTCTACACAATCGTCTACAGGAACACCCCAATGGATCTTCCTCTCCCTAGAGCCAGTTATGTTATAATCCTCAAAAGTTACATTTTGGCAAGAACAGAATTAGATGACAGGTTCACTTTACAATTTCTTGTCTGCATTTCAGAAGGGTAATAAAACAGTTATTTCAAGATAATTTAATATGGCACATGCCCTCACACTCAATAATATTAATCTTACCACATCAATAGCAAGATGCTAGGCTAGGGCCTCAGTCACAACCACCCTTCAGCAACCCAAACCAAACATTAAAGCAGCTGGAAGCTTTAGAAGTACAAATAACTACTCCGCAGATTGCCGGGGAAACTGTAACTCAAACCTGTTCTACTCACAAAGTCCCCAAAATCCAAAAGCAGATCTGAAGAGCAGTGACATAATCACACTCATATTAGAAAACACTACAGCACACCTCCTCTGCTTTTACAGAGCTGCCTGCATCTTATCAGAACGTGTTCAGGCTGAAGAAAGTTGAATTTTTGACCGCTGGTGAGTCGGGGTGGGATTCAGCTCCAGCTTAAAATATCCCAACACAGGTGTGTCTGTTGCCCATGGCGACAAGCACAATCAAATGCGTTTACTTTAGGGTGAGCTGAATCATGGTCCAGACTCCAGTGACTGGATCTCCCCTAAACTTCAGGGGGACTTCAGTTACCTAGCGTAAACACAGACACAGAGTGACTACAATTTGGAGCTGAGGTACCAGTGTCTGTACCTTGGCGCTGAATCCCATCCCTGAATTCTACCCCAGTTGCTGCTGCCGATAGGGAACGTCAACCAAGGTGAGGTGTTCTATCTGCCTCTGTTAAACTGCAACTAAAATGGAAGTTATATTTACCAAATTTGCAAATTTATGTTTAAAGGGCAGATTTATCTCAATATAAAACTATTTCTTTTATAAAAGTACAAGACCTCTTTTTCTCAGGCAAGAAGTTTATAACTTATTTGATATAATTGCAACAAAATTATGCAGCTTGTTGTATTTTCAAGTTTCTGAAACTGAAGGGAGGACAGGGGTTGTTTCCCTTGGAGACACTTCAAAACTCAAAGAGCACCAGGTTGGAAAAACAGTCAAGAAATCATATACAGTCAGGGCAGAGCCTGCAACTTGGCTCAAAAAGGCTTATTTTAAATTTGATAGGAAGAACTTTCACCTTCTCTGCTATCCTCTTTGCACAAGATACTGCAGTCCTGCTCCCAAACGTACAACTGTCCAGCTGAGAAGCTACTAAGAACTAAACTGCAGCAGATGAAAATCAGTTGACAGCAAATGCAGCGCTGAAGAAGGTAATTTTTGACTGCAGCCTCACCTTGGTTCTGGGGAAGTCGTTTGTCTGCCGCTCTCTCAAATTCAGAAATGCTGAGTTTCTTTCTCTTCTTAGTCATATGGAATGTGGCGATAGACGTGTGCTCAGGAACAAGGTCTGGCAGTTGCATTTCCACCCTGCCAACACAAACCAAGCCTTTAGCAAAGGACAGCAGTATCACTTGGCTACCCTAGAAAGCTCCCTGTAATGTCACTGAAAAGCAAATTAACAGTTACTTGCCCTTGCTGCAGCAGAAGTAAGGAACTAATCAGTGATCAGCCCAGCAAATGCAGGAACATGTCCTTCCCTCCCACTAAATCAAAGTAAATTTCACAAAGAGAATCAAAACTTGAGTGTATATTCAAAACAACGGAGCTGAGAAAGATCAGACTAGAGGGAAAGCTTGGACTTCCAACAAGCTCTGTAGCGCTCTCCTCCTAACAGCACACAGGAGCAACTCCGCTTGTCAGTCATTACATGAAACAACATTAGGTATCACAAAGCACTCTGGCACATGGAATAGACACATAATATCCCAGTGAGGCACTGGATGTGGCTTCAACATCACAGGAATGGTAAGGTGGTCAGGTTTACGGGTCTTTTCCCCACACAAAATACATTCTCTACTAGGCAGAATCATGGCTAAGTTTCATTTCTTAATAAGAGCATAACGTAAGCCTAAGCATTAGGATTTACTGGCTTGTAATGGGGAACAAATGAAAAGCAGCGGGGGAAAGAAAGATCATTGATTTTTTTGCATTTATCCTGGAATATGCTATTACAACTAGAGAAAGCAGTGCCTTCCCAAATTCAAGAAAGTTCACGTCAACTAAGGGAAGGTTGTGAGGAAGGACTGAAAACAAAAAGTTTGTATCTGTTTAAATTCAACGACTAGCTAACATATGGAATGTAAAACCCTACAAAGATCCAATCATCTTGTCTTTGCAGTTAAGGCCAATGAGAAGCACATTCAAAGACGTTCAAGAACTACAAGCAAAAACCAGAAGGAACTAAAATAATATTGCTTTTTTTTTTTTAATTTAAAAAAATCCAATCAAATAAACAAGCTACCACACTTACAGAAAATTCAGATGTTTTTTCCTCTACAAAAAAAATCAGAGGGATAGAAGTTTGCTTAATATTTTACATGACCCGTTTAAGGTTGCTTAGGGTCAACGAAAGAAATCACATTTAGAACCATCTATTCTGCAGTAAGCAAAACTGCGCACGAGTGTGGTGACAAAACTGGCTAAAGCAAATTAAGGCCTACCACCGCTACTGGCTTTCTTCCATTTCCTAACAACATGGAAGTAAACAAACCACACTTCCGCCTCTCCAATTCAATCAGGCCTGGTAACTTAAAGTATTAACAGAAGCTAAACACAAATAGAAGCAGCTGAGCCTCAGGCAAACCTCACCTCCAAACCACCCCACAGAAAGGAAGTTACCCCTAGCAGCCCAAAACAAGGATGAGCAAGAAGCAGTAACACCATAAAAAGCTACAGCAGCCTGTGTGCTGAATACAAGACACAGCAGTCACTCGTTACACCTCAGTATCATCAGCACACGGCCTGTAGCCTTAGGGAGATCCGACAGCTTCTATTTTAGTTATCAGCCACAGACAACTAAGAAAAGTAGGCTTCCATCCAGGAGACTTACTGCATCCAGCGCTTCCACGACAAAAAAGATGTTAAAAGTCTGCATTTAAGAAAAGGGACTAAGTGCAAACCTGCAGTATTTACTATCCAGTCCCCTGGTCCCAGTGATTCCTACGTGACTTTTAAAGCCGGAGAGGTATTTCTGAAAATCCCACCTGCCAATGCAATTCTGATCACCGAAACAGAAGTAAAGAAATCCCGCTTACCATTCCTATCACAGGAACTGCAGCTATACCTGGCAATGTAAAAAATAAAAGTAAAAATTAAAAAAAATACTTACGTGCTGGAAATCCTCTTCGATGGGAGTTCCGATCGAGCTTCTTCTGTTTCTTCATATGTAGATATCTGAGGTGCTAGAGGTGAAACTTGAGGTTCTGCCAACAAACCAAAACATTTCCTTTCCACAATTCAATCCAGCCAAAACACAGCAGTGTCAAATCTACACTACGTTCTGTAAATTACATTTAAGGAGTTAAAATAAAGACCCGGTGAAAACTATTTGGGTGAAAACTAGCAAGGCTGGCACGTACAGTGCCAAAGCCAACGGTGATAAACAGCAGCACGGGGGTCCCACATGCTGCAGCAGAGCTGAGCTGAAGTCTGCAACAATTTACACCTGATTCTACAGCTAAAGGCAGCAACAACTGTTACACGCTTGTTCACCAGGGTGAGAAGACTGAGTGAAGAGGATTTTCAAGAATCTGTTTGCATCAGTGCACGACCTGGTCTTTAAGACAGAGCTGTATCTCATGACCTCATTCGGCTGCCACTGCAGCAATTCCTCTTTTACCTGAATCAGTCATACAACGGTCTGGATTTCTGTTCCGGATAACAGGGTAAGAATGATAGGCTATAAAAGAACACCTCCTGTTCTCAACTCCACCAAAACACTGTCCTTCTGTTTTCCCCCAAAAGAAGATACTTACGGGTCCGGATGATTCTCTTGAGCATAACCCGTGGCGTGTCATTGCTGAGATCAGGGAACACAGCCGGTCTCTGCTTCACCAAGGTGCTTCTGCCAGATTTCTCCTTTCCTGAATCAGATACGGCCTAAAGAGAAAAATCAGAGACATACAAGTCAAAAATCGTATTTTCATCATTAACGATGACTCTTAGCAGCAAAAGTATTCATCATCCATCTTCTAATAAGAATCTAAGCTAGCTAAGATGAAACATTTTCCAAATTCCCCAAAAGAAATCGGGCACGTTGGCACAAACAACGCTGGCAATTCATTCCTGGGCGGCAGAGAACTCACAACGGCGAATCATCGCGGGGGGGCGGGGGGTGTTAACGCACAACTCTCATCGCAGACAAAAGCCTGAGGGAGTTGAAAGCACAGCCCACAGCGCTTCGTCCCTCACCTAAACCAACCCGAAACGGGGAAACGGAGGAAAAACACAAGGGGAGGGCGAGGCTGTAACGGCCGCGGCTAGTCGGCGAGCACGAAATTCAGGCGCTTCCGCCCATTTTCCACGTTTAAAGGCGAGCAACGGCAAGGGAGCGTCCTCTGCCGCCCCGGCCCTGCTCCCAGGGCCTCGCTTCCCCCTCGCACCGAAC